TGATTTTAAAATAGATTTTAGGATTGCAAGAAATTCAATTCCACTAAATGTTTAAAAATTTAATCATGTATGATTGTGCGTTATATGTTCAGTGAAGAAGTAAAAAGGAATGTATTTCTTCCCAAATGGATCATCATATAACTTCCAATGAATTCTGTGCTGTAGAAAGTTAAATTTATACATCTGTCTAAGATTAATGAAGTGCTATACATGGTCAACTCACCTTTATGGTTAATGGCAGCTGTACTTCAAAAAGATACTTAGAGATGAATTAAAGCAGTTGCCTTTCGGCATTATAGAATTGATGATTATCGATCAGATATACAAAACTATGGTATGTGCTCAGAACAGTGTCTGAGAAGAACAATCACTGTTTGAAATAGGACATAAGAAGAGTATTTTTGTTGATTCACACTGCTCAGGAATCTGCAGATAATCCAATTCTATTGCCAGTACTACCAGGTAGAAGAGAAGGAAAACCAGCATAAGGGCAAAAGAAGAGCTGTTATGCTGCTGTACTGAAGAGATGGAGCATTCTACATTTTGTGATACAGGCCTAATGGTGATTGACAGCTTCTGCAGATAAGGTGTCACTTGGAGAAGAATTTCAAGAGGGTGAACTATGAACCTGTCAGCATTTTCAGGAATCCAAAATATACTGAAACATAGACACATCAAGAAAGGTGTAGAAATATAAATATTAAAAACCATTTTTAGTGGTTTTGCTTTTTTTCCCCTCCCAGATCAATTCTTCTTTATTCTTTCCTTTACCTGTTTTCCCCCTTCTAAAATCCCACATTCTTTCTGCAGATGGACAAGAAACATTTGCGTGGCCTCTCCTTCTCACAAGTGTTTTCTCCTTCTTCTTATCCTGTTTCTTATGCATAAATTATCTCTTATCCCTTCATCTCCCCCTTCTTTCTCGGTTGTCTGGGGATTTAGAAAGAGCAGCCTCCTCCAGTCTTCCAGCTCCTCACATCACTCAGAAGAACAAAAGAAGGAAACACCGGTGCCCGGTCTCCGACCCAGCTTTAAGCTGGTGGGCGAGAAGGGCCCCCCCCGGAACCGGCTCCTTGCCCGCCATGAGGGCCCGGCCTCGCCGGGGACA